TCAAGCAGAGTGATCAGAAATGCCGATGGACATTTGCATTCCTCTGCTTGGAGAAAATAATCTATTATTTCCATTTCAGATCAAATCATGTACCTTCATGGTTTGAACATGTGAAACCTTCCTGAACATACCCAAAAACCATTAGTTTTATGTTTATCCCACCAATCCACACATCGAGTTCAAGTCTCATTCCCCTACTCTGTGCAGGCGCAAAATGGTAATGATATGAAGTGTGTAAAACTATGATCCAAGGCTCATAGTGAATGTAGTATAATTTCTATAATTTGGCGTCTTTTTGGCTCTGAGCTATGATTTGATATTTTGATCTTCTTTTAAGCTTTTGTTAGCTACTTTGATAACAATTAAGGTGGCAAGATGTATTTGCATATTTATCAGTATATGCTGGGATGAAAGAAGGGTTTCATACGGAGAATCTAAAGCAGAAACTCTAGGTGTTTGGCTAAGAGGGCTAAAGCAATAGCTTCTAGGGTGGAAACAACTATTTCTTTATCATTCTGGTTGGGACTTGGGGGATACTGAATAAATCTTTGGTTCTAAGCCAGCCATTCCTTCCTATATGCCATGGTGTGCTCCAAATTTCTGGTTGAGCTGTTTGATTTGATGGATTCATGCAATAGTTAGGCAATTCTAGTGGCAATTTAACTGCTTAAATCTTGGTACATTGGCTAACCAAGGATGACATTTTGGCACATATTCTGAAGGTTATATTCTATTCAAAACGGACTTTGTGTCTGCAAAGAAATGTTTAAGACCCTTCTGGCTGTGGTATAGTATTTTGGAAGGGCAGAAATCATAGAACAAGTCTCAGGTAACAAAGTTACAGAGGAAAGGGGGTGGATATCTTGAAGGATAAATAGATTTTAAGTTCAAATGACTTCTCTAGCCAATTCCGTAGGCCACATTCGAAGGCAGAGCTGAAGATTAATCTGATGATTGATTGCAGACTTCGATCTTTGGATAACACAATACTCCGTTCTCTTGTTCCTGGGAAAGAGGTAACTGTTATATCTCTGTGTGCAGTGATTTTTGCACAATAAATAAAAAAAACAGTTTTCTCCCTTGGTGAACTTGTGTTTACCTCAATAGTCGACGGTCCGGTGGCAAAGGGAGGCTAGAAGGGCCTAAGGAATGATGATGCATTGTTTTCAGGGTTGTCTGATCAATTCTTGCGAGCTGAAGGCAGTTCCTTGCACACAAAAGATGGGTTAGAAGGGCGCTGGAGTGTTTTCCGGCGTATCCCCCTCGAATAGTTTGAGAGAGGGGAAGGAAAATGCACTGTTTTTTGTATTATGGAGTGAATTTGCATACCTTTGCTTTGAGTTCTAGAGGGTACGAGTGTTCACCCTACCCTACGGGTAGAAAATATAGTCTTCCGTTTTCTACCCGATACTTTGCGAATTTTTTTTTCTTGACGTATCCTACTCGATCAGGTGTGGTATTCCTACCTAACTTTCTACCTGATTAATCGGGTGAGAAGTCGGGTAAACACTTTTGTAGCTATTAATTTTTGGATCATTTTAACAATTTAAATAAATATGCACCAATTTAACAACATAATAAATCAATAATACTAAAATCTAAAACAACTATAACAACAATTATAATTGTTGTAGCCATCAATCCACCATAATTGTTACATAAATACAATAACAATTATTTTAAATTTAAATCATATGAAATACATTAAAATTATAACTGCTTCGCCTATGACAGTTCACCAGTTCACAAATCACCAGTTCACCACAAATCATGTAACCTATACAAAAAACAAATTCATGTTTTAACAACTCAAACATCCACAACAATAACAATATTATAATATAAAATATACCACACAAATACTCTTATAATTACTAAAAAAATATAAAAAAGTTAAATAGCACCTTTTTTGTTAGTGTCATTTACCTTTCTTCACTCAAGAGTAATTGCAATTGTATCTACAGTTAATTCGAAGATAAAAAAGAGTATAGAAAAAAATTAGATACGAATAACTCATCAACAAATAATAAAAAAGTAACAATAAAAGTATAAAAACCTGAATCTAGTTTATAGCTTTCTAAATCCTCCAAAACATCCTCAAAGTCATAAGCAATGGATGACAATCGAAGCCAATTTTGTGCACATATGAGACCCTTAACTGTTTTAGGTGCTAGGTAACTCCGAAAAGGATCTAAAATACAACCCCCAGTGCTAAAAGTCGATTCTAATGCCATCGTAGAAACGGGAATAGCTAACACATCACGAGCTATTTTGGTAAGGGCCGGGAATTTGAAAGAATTAACCTTCTTCCACCAATTCAAAATATCAAAATTGGCACTAACAAATTCAACATCCTCCATCAAATATCGATCCAACTCTGATTTACTATCCACATTACCTTTTTTGGCCCTATACTTGCGGTACCTATTCATGAAATTTATAGGTACTTGATCTTGAACAGCTATCTCAATAGATGATGGTTAGCAATTAGGGTTTTATTGCCGTTCAATAAGATAGGGTAAGGTAGAAAATTGTAGTCAATCGAAAATTTGAACACCTCTACTAGAGGGTTATTTATACCTCTCATGGAGGTCATCATTACTGACTAGTGGGTAGTGTTTTGTCATTGGACAGTACACCTTCTATTTTGCAGGGACTAGGCTTAGGCGTTAAATACTCGGTCTCCCGAGCATTGACTACGTCCCATCCATATGAGGGATCATTAAATGCTTCTTTGTGACGAATGCATACAAGTAGGGGCCTTTTTATCTTGTGGCCCCTACTTCTGTACTCCCTGCCACGCGTTTAACTCCCTTTGGTTACTGGTCTTGTCCCTCTTGTCATTCTAACTTCATTAGGAAGACAAATCAATGATTCATTGTTTGACTCATGTTTCGACAGGCTACAATCGTCAATAGTCTGCCTTGGAGCTTAGGTGACGTGCCAAAAAGGGTCTCGGGACTCAATCATACGGGGGACACATGTCTGAATCAGAGAGTAGAAGGTGTCCTCAGTGCCGAGGACACGTGTCTACTTAAGAAGCTGAAGGTGTCCTCAGTGCCAAGGACACTGAGGATTTTAGCATTGGTTAGAGAATTTTAGCAGCAATTTAACTGCTTTAATCTTGGTACATTGGCTAAGCAAGGATGACATTTGATTGACACATACTCTGAAGGTTGTACTCTATTCAAAATGGCTGCGTGTCTGATTATTCTGGTACTTGTTAGCCCGTTGGTTTCACCACCGACATACATGGTCATTAAGAGAGAGAAGTATTTGAACATCTAGGTTTTTAGGGGAGTCTGTTATACATAAAATATCAACTGTTAGAATTAGTATACACATATGCATGCATGTGTCTACTAGCAGATGAATAAATACACACACACACACACGCAGAGAGAGAGAGAGAGAGAGAGAGAGTTTACACTAAAGTTGGAGAGGAACTGAACGTCAGTTGCATGATACTTAGAGCATAGTGGCGCTCAAAAATAATTAACGTCTGTTACATATTCTTGAACGGATATTTCTGATACTTGGTGTTCAGATTGTAATTTAGGCATGAAATATAGAATAAAACTTGGTTATTGCCTTTGGGTGGACAAGATGCACTCAGAAATTTAGTGGCACTTGATTAGGGAATTGCACATGTATACAAATTTGGAGAATGTGATCCTAAAACATCCAAAGCATTAAACGATCAAAGTAAATGAAAAACATTGTTGCATCTTAGAGTTCTTCTTTGTGGGAGATTAATTGTTGGAGATTCTTATTTGAGTTTTCTTTGTAAATTTTTTCCCTCTTTTTTCCACTTATTTTTTTTTTCTTGTTGGGAGATTGCTAGAAATAAGGATTGTGCCATGGTCTATTATGTTATGGGTTGAATTATTATATTCTAATGGATTATTTTACTGTTCTGAAAATAGTTGCAAAGCTGTAAATGCGGGGTGAGGGTATAATGGAATGAGGGCTCCTCCAATACATTTTTTTTTTTAATTTTGTTTCTTGATTGATCATCTACCAAAAATTCAAGTTAAACCCATTATATACGTAGATTTCTCACTTTCTAACAATGGATGACCCATTACCCATCATGTATGACTTGGGTCTTTTTGTACCTATAAAACAATGTGAATTGACCCTTATATTCAATTTAATTGGGTGCCCCACTTATAGTTAGAAAACAATGTGAATCGACCTTTGTCTTTCTTTATACTAATTATACTTTTTTAATTAAAATGGGACATCAATATACATCCTTCGGTAGGAGTGAATATTGGGTACAATGGTTATACCATGTCAGTATAAAAAGAGTAAAATAGGGCCTTCCTATCATAGAGGTAATTATATATAACATGGCTAGGTAGTTAAGTGTTTGAGTGAGATCTATTGGTTGATTTGTTCACATATTAATGGATTGTTACACCATGTGGCACTGTTGACATGGTATAACGATTACAATCAATATTTTCTCCTTTTATAGAGGGAAGCCAGCAAGAGGAGAAAGTTTGACATGTTAATTTGTTTATCATCCACATAACCTAGATTGATTCCTGATACCTTCGAATATACTTGTAGTCATCTTTTTCCTGTAGTCCCATGTCTATTCGTAGAAGACCTGTTTTTTGTGTAGTAAGTTTCATTTGAATTTGTGAATTAGAGGAACGATTCAATTCTATAGAATGATTTCCACTACTGAAATTGATGACGATGATCTACAATTAAAAAAATATTATATTAGAAAAGATCCAAATTAACTTAGTTTGTGCATTGGCCCTATTTAGTCTTCTGATATCCAATACCAACATTTTTTCCTTTTTTTTGGGTGCTGAATACGGACATTTCCATGCACAATTTTACGTAAATTTTTTTTTATCGTAAATTTTGACTAATCTAAATCAATTGCAAAATGAAGTTCAGGGACACATGAAAAGACTGAATTTGCAAGAGTAATTTCTTAAGACATTAGAAAAGCATAATAAATGGAAAACACAATTTGTCTAGCTTCTTGCATGCAAGAATTTGTTCACCAACTTGCCCAAATTCACCGAGGATGACCCATCTGGACCAGCAGCTTTTTCTGCCAGTTTCTTCCACTCCATAGATTTGTTCATCATCTTCTTCCCTTGATCTCCACCAATCAATTCCCTCACCAATCTGTCCACTGTGTCTCTCCTAACATCACTCTCAATCTCCATCCCAATCTCCCATTCATTGCAAGTGTACCTACAATTTGTCTGTTGGTCTGAGAAATGAGGCCAACACAGCATAGGCACTCCAGCACATATGCTCTCAATAGTGGAATTCCACCCACTGTGTGTCAAAAACCCGCCCACTGATGGGTGGTTCAGGACTTGTTCTTGTGGACACCACCTTGCTAGCATGCCTCTTTCTTTTGTTTCGATGATGAGCTCCTCTGGGAGAATTCCCAACCCACCAGCAACAAGATCAGGCCTAATTATCCACAGGAAGTTGCATTTACTATTAGCAAGTCCCCAGCCAAATTCTATCAGCTGCTCAGGGGTCAATACTATTAAGCTCCCAAAGTTTACGTAAATTACGGAGTTGGGTTCTTTCGAATTCAGCCATTGTAGACACTCTGGTTCTTCTTTCCATAGGTTGTATCCGATCGATTGTAAATGCTCTTGATCATTTGATGTTTGATTCAGGAGTAATTCAAGGGGCCCGATGCTATAAACGAGTGGAAACATTTTGACATAGCATCAAGAACATCTTGCTCTAATGCATCAAAAGTATGAACAACAATTGCTGAAGCTCTGGAAGCCCCCTCAACGGCTTCCATGCAAGAGTTGAACATCATGTCGTTTGGATCTGTAGTCCTTACAAAGCTGGGGAGATCCTTCAGACGTATATCTTTCATTCCTGGAATCCAGTCTATTATTCTATCTAAGTACCCATTTGTTAGATAGCTTTCATCTGCAAATACCAAATATTAGTATGAACATAATAGAGTCGTATCATATTTGAGTCATGTCCATTTTGTTTGTGTTGTGTTCGTGTAATTAGAAATTGTTGGACAGTTCATACAATACTATATAAAGAATAAAGAAACAAAAATATATGTTCATTTCCTTTCAATACAAGCTAAAGGGTTATTTTAGTCTAACAATGACCTGAACCATCCATTATTCACATTAATAACGTCGTGTCATGTACTAGTTCGATATCGTCTTCATGTCAATAGGTAAACTTGGCACCCCTAAACTTATCCTAGCCACATGCATTTTTAGAATTCCTATTGCAATTTGAACTCAACTCTCAATATGAATCCTATTTTCTTTTACACCTACCACAATTTGGAACTGAAATTATTTGTTGAAATTAACAGATACAATGATACATACTTTGAGTGGTGTTAGTCCCTTTCTAACAGAGCTCGAAACTGATAGAACCCCATGAATGCACAAGCAGGACTTGGAAAGAAAATTATCCATGGGATTCCTAGTTCTTCAGCAGCTGTAACAGTAAATGACATGGATAAGTCCGAGACGATACAGGTAACGGAGGGACGTGGAAGACACAGTGTCATTGAGTTTGGGGAGGAGGTCGCGAAATGGAGGCAATAGGTACCCTTTGGCAATGACCTGAGCGAGAGCAAAGAGGTCTTGATTGGCATCGGATTCGATAGAGGGAGACCATCTGGAATGGTTTTGAATCGAAAATCGGGTAGTTCTCGAGAGAATTGGATCCCATAGATTGAATAAGCGTTTATGATTGAACTCTGTGTTGACAAAGGTATGTTGAAGCCTTTGTGATGGAGGAGTTTGCTAGTTTCATCATTGGTTTAATGTGGCCTTGTGCCGGTACCGGTATACATACTGCATGAGGCTTATCAGCTACAGCTACAGAACTCATTCTCTCCCCCCCCCTCTCTCTCTCGCTCTCTCTCGTAATGTTGTTGTGTGCAGACTGCTAAGGCCTTATATGCGAAGATTAATGACCTTATGACATCCTCAACCAAAGATTTTCCTTGTCAAAGAGGCAAGATATCTAGTTTTATAATTACCCTGGATGTATCTGAGAACCATACCTGAGGAATTTTGTTGCTTTAGTGAAATGCACCCAGTAACTTAACTTTTTGCCGATATGAACTATTGAATTTTTCACATTACCGTCTCAATTATTTTAATTAATTTCATTTTACTACAAAAACAAACACGTTATCTCTTGGACAATATTTATTAACATGTCAAGGAAAAGTGGAACAAAATCATATTAATCACGAAACTAATAACCATCGATGGGTAAAATGTGAAGAATATGACAGTGAGAGAGCAATGTGAGATTGTGGCCATAATTATAGGGTCAAACTGTAAATTGCCTTTTTAAGTTTGTGATCCGTTGAAAAATGTTCGTCAAAGATGAAGTTTCGTAGCAGTCACGATTGACTTCTCAAAAAATTTAAAACGAACACCAAAATTGATGTCCTTGATCACCAAGGGAAGATATTTTATGTACTGATATATAGAAAATAATAATGTGTTACACCGATTAAATTTTGAGACTAAATTAAAAAACTCAAATGATATGACAATTGAATTAGATTTTTTTATTTGGTGTCATGGTATTTGAGCCCCAATAAAGATTTCAAATAATATGCTGTCCTATCATTTGATCTCTTAATTTGATCCCAAAATTTAGTTAGCGTAACATCACTGTAAAAGAAAATAATTGGAATGTACACACTAAAAATCCAGAAGCCATTACCCCCAATGAAAATGCTTGGATCGGGTTTTAATCGTATCGATGTAAATCGAATTATTGTGAACATCTTTCATAGATTTGAATTTAGATTTTATTGATTTCTTATTTGGTTTATAATTTAGTTTCAAAAATAAATGACATTGATTAGATTTTTCATCAGATATTTGAATCAGGCTTTTAATTTTTATGGATTTAGATGTTAAAAAAAAATGGAATCTATTGAATAATTGGATCAAAAAAATGGGATTCAAACTTCGAACTAAGAGAAATCTGATTCGAGTCCGATTTATTGACAATCTTAGTTACCCTATGATTTGAGATGATCGGTTCATGGAATTGACTCCGGTTGAAGCTACCAAAGATGACACTTTTTTGTTTTTTTGGTTACACGGTGTCCAGGGGACTATTTCTTTGAATTCAGTAGTCGGTCACCGTGTTTGAGCTGGTCTAGAGCTTGTCTCTAAAGGGGCGAAGTGATTAATCCTTAAGAGATTTGTAAATAGATTGAAACTTTAAATATTTAAATTATCAAATGACAAACTCAAACTATTAAATCATCCTAATAACATTACCAAAGATTAAGATGTATTAGATCATGAGTTATGAAATCTACAAATTACATGGACACCCTGTCAGGGTTTCTACCTCATGTATATGTGTCATCGTCATGATTTCCTCTTAGTTAGTCCAGACGAGGCCTATGCCCGAGTTGTTTGGCCAAAAAATGTCAAATTGATGACTATTTCCTCTTCTACGTTTTACTTAGTTGTCGTGAAACTCACAGATTGATAAATTTGGTCGATAGTAGTTTCTAATTCCAAGATGCTCATGAAAGACTTGAAAGGTCTGTTGTTGAATTGAGTTCCATTGTCCGATACAAGTGCACGGGGGACTCTAAATCTCATCACTATGTTCTTCCACATGAACTTCTTGGTGTCCACGCCTTTGATATGGGTTAAGGGCTCCGTCTCGACCCATTTCGTGAAATAATCAGTTCCTACTATCAGGAACCTCTTGTCTCTAGGGGCCCTTGGTCGGGGCCCAACCAAGTTGAGTCTTTATTGAGCGAGCGACCAAGGACTCGTTAGTAGGTGCAAGTCTCCAGCTGGCTGCCTGATGACTGGAGCAAACCTCTGACATTAATCGCACTTCCAAACATAAGCTTGCAAGTCCCTCTGCATGCATGTCCACCAATACCCTTGGAACATGATGCGATAGACCATTGATCGTCTACCGAAGTGTCCACTATATATGCCTTCATGTACCTCGTACAGAAGTGGTTCAATTTTATCCTCGCGGATGCAAAGTAGGTATAGTCCGAAGAATGACTTTTAGTACAACTTTTGATCTGGGGAATCCTAGAACCTTGGGGCCCTTAAGCTTATCTTTCTAGCTTCTTTGGGATATTCAGGGAGTTCTCCCAACATGAGAAACTTGAGTAGTAGATCAATCTAGCTAGGGGACTCCTCCCCTTCTTGGATGGCAGCCACCCTAGGGATTTCATCTATTCAAGAGTTGGAAAGGTACTCCACGGTGATCCTTCGTGTCGTGGTGGAATCCAGCGCCGAGGCCAGACATGTCAAGGCATCGACGTGGGCGTCCTTATCTCAAGGAACTTTCTTGTCTTCGACCTTCTTGAACGTGTGGAGTAAGGCTATTGCTTCGTGGTGGTAAGTTTTCATTCTAGAGTTCCTTGTTTTGAACACCTCGTTAACCTAGTTGACCACCAACATAGAATCGCAGTGGACAGTCAGCTCTGTGATTCTTGACTTGATTCGAAATGTGTACACCAAAGTGCAGACGGTCAAGTTATAGAAATAATTTAATTAAGTCTAGAGTCGAATGCACATGAAACTATTGTTGGTGTTTTAAAGTAAGTAGTGACAGAGACCATGTGATTGTAACCTTTGAGATTTATAGTGATGATGTTTAGAGATTTTCTTGGGCCAAATATATAATTCTTTCCAAGAATATTTTCTAGACAAAATATAAGATAAATTCAAATATAAATAGTTACTCTTTAGTTTGAGGATCTAGAAATGTAGTTGATCATCCAATTTATTATACTTGTGCTTGGTAACTCAATTAACTCCCGTGTCAACAGCAAGTTAATCAGAAGATAAAGATGGATTGTGAGAATTAAACGCATGGTTTCGATGCCTTTCTAGAAGTTTACAAGAATTGTATGTGCTAAGACTCAAACCCTCTACAAACAAGCAAGTGTTTTTATAAGGTATCCAACCATGGCGTTAATATTTCATCCTTTAAATGAAGTACAATAATGGTGAAGATTGAAGGGTAGTAATGAAGATCTAGCTGGGGTACTTGCCTTGAACCAATGAGTCTTTCTATGTAAGAGTCATCTATGTTATAGAAATTACTCAAGGTTATACAAAGTACCTTAGCTTTGATAGATGCAATCAATTATTTAATAAGCAAGTGAAATATAAAGCATTTAAGCATAAATGAAATGAAAAAATATAACTTTTGGATAGTTTATACATGTTCATCACCTCTTACTAAAGAGTGAATGAGAAACTACTCACTTTTCATGGCTTTGGTAAAGCTAGAAAAGTGAGTGATACTCATCCCTCCAAGTAGAGGAGTTACAAGGTAAAACACAATAAATGAGGAGCTGATCTTCAACGAAGAATGAGTGAATCACGTTTCATCCTTCACGACTTTGGTAAAGCTTTAGAAAAGTAAAAGAGTTTCACTCCTCTAAGGGAAGAAAAAAGCTCAAGCAATGGTAGCGAAAGAAACTAACAATGAAAATAGAAGTAAGCTACTCACTTTTGGAGGGTTTCCACCACAACCAAAAGATGATCTATCTTCCTCTATACAAGTAAAATATAAGTCTAATTCTAAATTCTATGTCTACAACTGCTTCTACCAGCCTCCTTGAAGCTCCCATAATGGGAGTATTTATAGGCAAGGAGGAGGGGGCAAGGGATTGTGAAAGAATAGTGCAAGGCCGCCAAAGTCCAAGTGAAAGCCAACTACTCTGCAACCAGTTTGGGGATAACTTTCGAACATTGTCTGGCGTTTGAATGTTCTTCTTATCTTTGCTTGATGGGGGTTCGAATGCTAGATGTAGTTTGAACCTCCTACTCAAGTGGCCTCTGGTCTTCTGTGAGAGCTACTTTCATACGCCAT